TGCCGCCAGAGGGCGCCCTGGACGGCGCCAGAGGGCGGGGCTGCGTGCACCCGGCGCCCGGTACCCACCCGCTTCCTTCTGCACCTGCTCGGCCAGAGCACCGGAGCACGACTCCACTGGGGTCTCGCTCGATACCTAAGTGTGCTCCAGACGTGAGTGCCTGAAATGCTCGTCGGGGGGCGGTCGGCCCTTGCTGCTCGCTACACCCTGGCTGCTGTGTGCCCGGGATTCAACTGGTTTGGGTTACGTAAGGTGAATATAACTCAGGAAGGCTTGCACTCTGCACTCCAGCGACTCGCAGCAAGCTTGAGTCATACCTCGGTTTGTGTCCTGAATCGCCTTACCGTTAGCTGTTGGTAGGTGTGTTTTTTCAATGGATTTTTCAAATGGATTATGGGGAGCCAACTGAAGCAGTACATTAGATACTAGTCACCATGACTAGAGAGCTGCTTTGGATAGATTTATGAAGTGAAATTATGCAACTAAAGTGACACAATAACAATAACTGCAGTTATGAACTGCTATTAAGAGGTCTCACGACAAGCAACAACACCCTAAGGACAGTGTGTGTGCTCTTATGTAACCTTCACAACAACCTTATAAATACACCCCATAGCCATCAGTGGATTCTGATGCATATCAACTCTGTTGGCCTTTCTGAGACTGTACCTCCCCACCCCACCCCAAGACAGCCTCATGTTTATCCTGTGAGCAGCTAGTGGGTTTGAACCACCAACACTGAGGTTAGCAGTACAACATTTAACCCACTCAAAACCCACTGCCACCCAATGGATTCTGACCAATGGCCACCCAGTATAGGGGGTTCAAGACTGTAATCTTTACAGGAACAAACAGCCTCATCTTTTCCCCCCAGAGTGGTCCATGGGTTTGAATCATCAGTCTTGCAGCTAGCAGTCCAAAGCTTCCTTGTCAGGGCCACCAGGGCTCCTTAGCCTATAAATAGGTGGGGCAATTGTCCCTATGTGAGAGAAGAGCAAACATCTGGAATGATCATTGGCAAAGCTAGAACGAGAACCATAGTCTCCTCTGGCTAATGGCGTCATAACATTAGTTTCTCTGAGGTTAACGTCTTGCTGCCTCCCTGTTTAGATAGCTCAGGTTCTAGTTGCTCTTCCCCTCAATTTCCTCTCCCACTAAAATAAAAAGGAGAAATTAGTTGTGAGTTATCAAAAGAATAGCTTCAGATTGGTTGTTAATAAAAAATACTTAAATGTTGTCCTATGAAGTTCATTTTGTGTCTTGGGTTATTCGCCACATAGTTATTGGGCACCTAGGATGTGCCAAGCACTCTTTAAGGCTGTTTTAGTTATC